TTAAAAAAAATAAATAAATAAAAAAAAAAAATAAAAATAAATAAATAAATAAATAAATAAAACAACAAAAACACTGTTGAGGGCTGGCCTGTGGCTCACTCGGGAGAGTGCGGTGCTGATAACACCAAGGCCCCGGGTTCGGATCCCATATAGGGATGGCCGGTTCGCTCACTTGCTGAGCGTGGTGCTGACAACACCAAGTCAAGGGTTAAGATCCCCTTACCGGTCATCTTTAAAAAAAAAAAAAAAAAAAAAAAACACTGTTGAATGCCCACTATCCTTCCTAAGTAAGTTAGGGACAAAATGGGGATCAGGGGAGAACCCCATCCCTACATGCCTTTCCCCATCAAGGGCAGCCTTCTCACCCCAACAGCCCTCTTTGCAGTTGCTGGCCTGGCAGAAGCAGAGTGAGGTCTTTCCAAGACCTCCTTCCCCTGTCTAGTAACTACCCTCTTCAAAAGGGGAAGTCAGTGCTGGACTCTTTCCCTTGCCAACCCCTATCAAGCCCTTTTGTTAACAAAAAAAGGGAGCCAAACAAATTTTCTCATGAAAGTTCCCAAACATCGGGACAGATCTGTTTCCTAGGGTCACAGAGTGAGGACAGGAGGCCAAAGTGCTCAGCCACATCCCACATCCCTTGGGAAAAGCAATAAAGATATAAAGATCAGCCTGGTTTTCTTTAAAGAGAAGGCTGCCATTCCTGAAAGGAACAAAAAACCCCATGTTATCATCATTTCCCTATCATCCTAGATGCTGATGGAACACCTAAATTCCTTATTCCTCTATTCTCCACCTTGTTCCAGGGCTGGAATTTATCCCTTCATGCAACAGGCACTGTTCTGGATAATAGAACTGCCAGCAGAAACCTCCAGCAATTTCCAGGGTAGTCCTGTGGGATAGTAGCTTTTTCTGTGAATTGGAGAAGGGGAACAGATCTTGGTCTCCCTCATAATTTGACAAGAATGGAAAAACTTCAGGATCTGGGTCTGATGTCCTCTCAAATGAGTCGATTCAGGCCAGTGGGTGGGAATGCCAGGAAGAGCTCATAATGTGGGTTGAGGAAGTTTTTGTTTGTTTGTTTGTTTTGGGCAGCTGGCTTGTACAGGGATCTGGGCCCTTGGCCTTGGTGTTATCAAGACCGTACTCTAACCAATTGAGCCAACTGGCCAGCCTGTGTTGAGGAAGTTTGGAATGGGCTGGCCAAGTCCCTGAGCCATCCCTAGACCCAGACCCCTCCTACTTCCCTGGTCACTAACACGTTCCATCTGTGCACAGTTCTGGCCATCACTTCCCATATGGCTTCTAGGAACTCATGACTAATTAAAGGAGTGTGTGCATGTGTGTGTGTATGGGAGTCCTCTTAAAAACAGAGGTTTCCATGGTATCATCTTGGAGAACTCAACCCCACTCCAGGGAAAGCTCCCTGTCTCTTGACTCCCTTGGGGTTCTGAGGGGAAAACAGGCCAGAGGCCACCACCACCCCCTCTCACATTTCTCTAGATTAAGGGCAAGGCCTGGCCAGCTCTAACTTGGTTACAACTCATGTTTTTCTCACTTTCAGATTCCAGTTTCAAGCCCCAAACTTGCCCTTTATATGCTAGGATGTCTAGTTTTCCAGACCACCGCATTCCTATTTCTCCAGCTTCTTCCTGCCCCCACCTCCACAGGCTAAGGTTGATGGTTTAGAGATTGGCTTTTCCTGGGCTTAGAAACTTCTACAAACTTTTGCCTTCCACCCATAGCCCCACGACCCCTGATCATTAGAAAATAATCTCAGAAGCTTACCCTACTCCCTTCTGCAACAGTTAAAATAGTTTAATTAAAAATATTTCTATACAAACTCTTCTGCCACAATTTGTGGGCAGAAGGGTAAACCAGTTTGCCAGAAGGGAGCAGGAAGCCAAAGAACTCAGGAATTTTTTCTCTCAGAATCAAGTTCTCTCTCTGGGGCAGGCAGGCCACATGTTCTAACCCTTGGCACATATTCCCACATCTCCCCCAGTGAGAGATGACAAATTCAGAGGGAAAAAGAGCTGGGTCAGCCTGGCTCAGGGGGTGGGGGCTGGTAGAAGAGCTGGTCATGCTGCAGTGGTGGGAACAGTTAGTCATGCATGTCCTTGCACAAATGTCCAGCCTGCAGCTCCTTGCTGTAGGGGATTGTATTTGGGTGCCTGTGGGAACTATGGGTGGCTGAAGAGTGCCATGCAAAGATCAGAGCTTTAGAGCCTGTGGCTCTGCTGCTTCCTGGCTGTGACCTGAAGCAGCCTATTACAGACTTGGCACCCTTTTCTGTAAAAAGGTGATAATACCAGCTCACAGAGTTGTTGTTGAGATTTATTTATTTATTTATTTTTCAAAAGATAACCGGTAAGGGGATCTTAACCCTTGACTTGGTGTTGTCAGCACCACGCTCACCCAGTGAGCGAACCGGCCATCCCTATATAGGATCCGAACCCGTGGCCTTGGTGTTATCAGCACCGCACTCTCCTGAGTGAGCCATGGGCCAGCCCATGTTGTTGAGATTTAAACAAGGTAAAGTATTCGGCAGCTTTTTTACTATTTTATTCTACCCTCTCCTGTCATTGCCATGTCTTTTGAGGCCAGAGTGCCTGCCCACACCTCACCTTACAGTAACTACCTTCTCTTACCATCTCTCTCGCTAACATACACTATTTTTTCTCGTACATGAAGCACCTGAGGGGAAGGAATAATTTGCTATCATATTCATCTTACCTTACTCCTTTCCCTTGCGTCTTCCTTGTCTGTGTCCTCCTCTCCTTTCACCACCCTCAGCTCTTGCCTCTCCCCCATTATCCTCACCAGTTCCTGTAACTTTCTCTTCCGTCCCATCCACAGTCTCTTCCACTCCCAACCACAGAGCCTGGGCAGGCAGAGCTGGAGCTGAACCCAGGTCCACAGACAGTTTCAAGTAAATGCATCAAAGTGTTACTAGTGGTTCACTTTCGGGTAGAATTTACTAGTGTTTTTCATTTTTCTCCTTGTTTATTTTAGTATTTTCCAAATTTACTACAATGAGTGATGGAGAGCTATTATTCAGAGAAAAACAAAATGGGAAAACTTGAATCAGAAAAAAATCATGGTTCAATTGGCCCATGTCCTTTTCTCAAAAGGAGAGGGATTGAAAGGTGGGGGTAGAAAAAGGAGAAAAAAGGGACAAGAAAGGGCCTTGTAGGGGGCTGAGAAGGAACTGGTCCCCAAACTCCATCATTTCCTGGGTGCACCAGCCTTGGTGATGGCCTCTGTCACTCATCATACAGAAGCTCTCTGTCCTTTCCTGCCTGTCACTGGTCATTCGGGACTTAGTCACCCAATTGTCATGCAGTTGGGTGATGGGTGGTTCAGGGGGATCAGCATCACTGAGGGCAGCAATATGAGTCAGAAATATCCCCCACCTTGATCCTGGGGTGTGAAGGATTTCCCTGTGGCCTCCCAGCCTTTCAGCCTGGGGTATCGGGAAGGGCTGAGAACTGAGGTCCTACTGAGAATGTGAGTCCAGTAACCCTTTCCCTCATTCCTATGCCTACTTCACTGTGCATTTGAATGATATGAAAATGTTGTGTGATCGGGCCGGCCCGGTGGCACACTGTAGCTGGGAAGCGTGGTGGCGCTCCCGCCGAGGGTTCGGATCCCACATACAGACCGGTTCCCGCTCACTGGCTGAGCGAGGTGTGGGAGCAACACCGAGGGTTGCGATCCCGTTGCTGGTCCTGGTCCGGTACGGGCGCGACACTGAGGGTTGCAATCCGTTGCCGGACACGAAAAAAGACAAAAAGGAAAAAAAAAAAAAAGATAGTGGAAACTTCAGTGGCTCCTAACCCCTTAAAGAAGAGAGTTCTAAGAGTCAGTGTGGTGCATGCGAAGAGCATGAGCTATGGAGTCAGCAGAGGGATTTGAATATAGGCCAGGCTAGTTAGGAGCTCCATGTCCTTGATCAAGTTTCCCTCTCTGGGTCTCCATTTCCTCTTATAAAAAATGGCCAGAATAATTTCTCCCTCACAGGACACTTGTGAGAATTAATCGAGATAATATACAGAGCATCCAGTACACAGTAAATATTTTCAAATGTAAGTTTTTCTTCTTTTCCCTATCTAGCATTCAAAGCTCTCTCTAAACTCTGGCTCCCAACCACTCTCTCTCCCTGGTTATTCATTTGATAAAGGTTTATTAAGCACTGCTTCTAAAGCATGGAGCTGGCCTGGGCCAGACACTAGGGATTCAGTGGCGAATGAAGCAGTCCCGACCTTTCAGATTTACTCTCTGAGCACAGCAGATTCTAAGCTCTGCACTTTTACTCAAGACCTGTACTGTCTGTGTCTCTCAGTGCTTTTACCCCCTCTCATTCTTAGCCAGCCTTCAAAGCCCAGCTCAACGCCTGCCTTCTCAGCAAGCCTCCCCTAGCCCTGTGACCCCTAGGATGGATTACCTCCTGCCTGGCATCCCAGCTCCCCTCCTTCCAGGTGCTGAGGTCTGCCTCATCCATCTATAAACTCTTTCAGGGCAGGCTCCAGACCCTTTACATCTTCATGCTCTTGTTAAACCCCACCTCCACCCACACATTCCAGGCTCATTAAATGCTTGAAATAATGACTTTTTATTAAAGTAGACATAGTAGGCTTCAAGATCACTCAAATTCCCAACTTGTTTTTGGGTGAAAAGAAAGTAAGACTTTACCCTTGATTCCTTCATCTGAAACCCAAGCTACCTTTAGCTACCTTCTGCTTCTTAGCTTTTACTTTTTTCCCTGTTCTAGAGCAGACAGAGAGACTTGAAGGTTGAAGCTGAAGAATTTGCTGGCTCAGGGTCCCTGGGGCCCAGGACTGTTCAACTCCAGCGCATGTCCATGGACCCTATCCCTAGTCTCTCCAGAGATTTTGCTTCTCATCCTGCCAGGATATCTATCCCAGGGCAGTATGAAAAGTCCTCCCACCTCTGTCAGAGGACTCTGAGGGAGGGGGTTCAGGGATCTTCCTGGCTTCTGCTCTCTGGTAGGGCAAGGGTTAATGGTAAATTGCAACATATCTCTGGGCTGAGTCACCTCCCTCCGCCACTCCCCCCAATTCCCCTCAGTTGAAGTTTTATAAAGAGGACCAGAAGCTGGAGAGTGAAAAGAACTGGAGGTAAGAGTCCCCCAGCCTAGCCCTGCTCCCCCAGGTTCCCAGAAATATCAGGTCAGAGGGCACAGACAACCTCAAGAGCTCTTGTCTGGTGGGACCATGAACTGGCAGCAGCTGTGGCTGGGCTTCCTACTCCCCATGACAGTCTCAGGCCGTGCCCTGGGGCCTGCAGAGAAGGAGGCAGCTGTGGTGAGTCCCCTGGGAAAGAGAGGCCCGGGCCAGGGGAGAGGCAGGGGTTACTGCTCCACATCCCATCCAAGCCTCCCTGCTGACCTTAAACTGTCTACCTTTCCCTTCCTTTCTCTACCCTGCCCATCTCTGACTGCTTCCCCTTGTTCCACCTGAGCCCCTTCTCTAAGGTGCTTCTCCTTGAGTCCTTCCATATCTGTCCCCTCCTCTCCTGAGGGGCTTCTTAGCTCATTTAGAAACTTTACCCAGAGACTAACCTTCTTTTTATCCTGCTTACCTCCAACCCATCATAGGATTATCTGTTGCAATATGGGTACCTACAGAAGCCTCTAGAAGGACCTGATGACTTCAGGTCAGAAGATATCACAGAAGCTCTGAGGTGAGAGGTCATAAGGCACATGCCTTCAGAGCTGAGGTTGCAAGGTCTTTCTCTCTCTTCACATCCCTTCCTCTCCAGCCCCACCTCTGCCTGACCCAAATCCATGTTGGGGATCTAGAGGATGGGTGGCTATCATTGTTAGGGTAGTGGGGTAAAGGGTGACATGGGGATTCAAAGATGAGGAGTACAGTCATTGATCTTTCTAGGCCCTAAGTGCTCCTTTGAAGGCTCCACCCCATATCATATCCAAAATACTATTACTTAGTTATAGCCGAATGAAGCATAATTTATACATAAAACAATGAGTTGAGTTGAGTCGAAGTTGAGTTGTTGATATGATATTACCTTTTGTGGACATTTAATTCAGCATTTAATAGTTTCTATTTTGTAGTTTTCTTTTATATTTTGGATGTAATAGATTGTTTTTCTTTCTGCTCTCAGATATGTTCAGGTCTTTTGAAAAGCACATAGGCCCTACGATAGTCCATAGGTAGGTGAAATTTCCCAGAGCAGGCTGGGCTGGGAGGGGGGTTCAGCCAAGAAGGGAGAAGGCTGAGGGAGGACAGGCCCTCAGATGGGAGCATTGGTGGGAGAATATCCAGAGCATGGGGCTGGACACTTCCCCAAGAGCAGAAATTTAGAAATTGCAGTAGAGAGAAACAAAACAAAACAAATCAAAAAAGGAAAGAAATTGCAGTAGAGGAGAAAGCCTATACCTGAGGGCAAACTTAGTCAAATAAGAGATTGCAAATGGGCAGATGAAAATTGAAGTGTTGCTGTTTCTGCAGAACAGAAAAGAAAGTCCCAATTATGAGGACTGGAGGCTGGAGTGACCCTGACAGCTTCAGAGATTCTGTGCTGTTCTCGGCCACCACCCTGGGCAGCAAGAGGTCAAAGAACCATATCCCCAGTTCCCAGTCATTCCAGATGCCCCTGCCCTGCTGGACCCATCCTTTTTCCTCTTTTCAGAGCTTTTCAGGAAGCATCTGAGCTGCCAGTCTCAGGTCAGCTGGATGATGCCACAAGGACCCGCATGAGGCAGCCTCGTTGTGGTCTGGAGGACCCCTTCAACCAGAAGACCCTTAAATACCTGCTGCTGGGTGAGGACTGAACCTGGGAAAGGGAGGGAGTGGAGAGGGTGGTGTGGCTCTGGAGCGTGGATGGCATCGGGACAGCCTGGACCAGCTCAGTGTTGAATGGATGATCACCTGGTGATTACCTGGTTTTCACCTGCCTGGAGGGGTTGTGACTGCCCAGACCCAGGGGAGCTTTCTGGGGTTGGCAGAAGGATCTGTGTTTCCAATCTATTTTCTGGTCCTTTAACCAGGCCGCTGGAGAAAGAAACACTTAACCTTCCGCATCTTGAACCTGCCCTCCACCCTCCCACTCCACTCAGCCCGGGCAGCCCTACTTCAAGCCTTCAAGTACTGGAGCAGTGTGGCTCCCCTAACCTTCCAGGAGGTGCAGGCTGGAAGGGCTGACATCCGCCTCTCTTTCCATGGCCGCCGAAGCCCGAACTGCTCCAATGCCTTCGATGGACCTGGTAGGCACCTGTTCTCAGCTCTCACCTCACAGACCTCTGAGATTACCTCTGTCTCCTTAAGCCAGTGGTTCTGGAATTTTTATGTTTAGGTGGTCCTTTATGCCCATACACTCTCCAACCACTTCTCACATTGCCTCGGGGAATAGTTGGTCTCCTACCTGGGGCCTTACCAAGCCTCTTCTTTGAAGCTTATGCCTCCTTCTCTGGCTTAAGTTCCCCTACTCAAGGTACACCTCAGAGAGGATTGGGCCAGAGAGGGGGGTGGCTGGGGAGATAATGGGACAGTAATGGGCATCTCCAAGAAAATTGGGTGATGACAGGGGAATCTGAAAGGAGAGGAAGAAGCATCTAAGAGACAGTGAATATAGCTGGGGGACTTTTAAGGGAATGGAGTCATTAGAGTTTATAACAGGTGGGATATGCTCCAGCCTAGTGGGCTCTGACTTCCTTCCTATCCACCTCTGCCTTTTTCCAGGGAGAGTCCTGGCCCATGCTGACATCCCAGAGCTGGGCAGTGTGCACTTTGATGAAGATGAGCTCTGGACTGAGGGGACCTACTGGGGAGTGAATCTGCGCATCATTGCAGCCCATGAACTGGGCCATGCCCTGGGGCTTGGGCACTCCCGATACACCCAGGCGCTCATGGCCCCTGTCTATGCTGGCTACCGGCCCTACTTCAAGCTGCATCCAGATGATGTGGCAGGGATCCAGGCTCTCTATGGTCAGTCCATCTCCCTAGTGAGTGTGAGGGTCAGTCTGACCAGCATCTCTCCAGGCTTGAAGAGACAGATCTAGCCACCATGGAGTTAAATGGCTTGGCTTTTTTGCTTCCTCTGGCCCAGATGTTCACTCTTCATTTTTAGGAACTGTTTTGACTCTTCTGAGTGTAATTTTCCTTCCAGGTCTCTCTCCCCTCATGCCTATTCTTGGGGATGGAGAATGCACATTCCAGCAAACCTCCTTCCAGCTTTCTGGTGCCTCTCAAAACTAAAACATATCTCCTGCTGATATCAATATGAGCCTACCACTAAGGGAAACTCTTCTAGGACTCCCTTTTTCCCTCTCCATGGATCCTCTGAGCAGAACTTACAGTAGATGGCTGGGGAAACCATGCACTATGAGTTCTCTCCCTGAGCAGCATTACTTCACCTTGCAGGCAAGAAGAGCCCAGAGATAAAAGATGAGGAAGAAGAAAAGACAGAGCTACCCACTGTATCCCCAGTGCCCACGGAACCCAGTCCCATGCCAGACCCCTGCAGTGGTGAACTGGATGCCGTGATGCTGGGTGAGGCCCTTCTCCTCCAGGCTGTAGGCATGTAGTGGGGGCAGTCCGTTGATCCTGAGGCCTGGACAAATGGGAATGATGTGAGACTTTAGCATGAGCAATGGAAGTTCAACCCCAGGCAGAAGTTGTGACTACGTAAGAAGACATATGGCATGGAAAGGGAGGATTCAGAGCCAAATTAAAGGTGGGCCAGGCAGGCACTTACCAAGGTTGTCACTTATATGGGCCCCTAGAACACATCTGGAAATGGAGAAAGATGGAGAAAGCTATATTAACTGGAATGCCTATTGGAGAGAATGTTGCACGTGGTTGGAAGCCACCTGGAGTGGAGAGTGAGATTCCCCAAAGAGAAACAGATATATCTGCAGGGCTTTTGTTTTGTTGAGTGGACCAGAGCTGAAATACTCTAAACAACAAAGGATAAGCTGAGTACTGGGTCTTCCTTCTCTGCCTTTTATTTTCTCCTTGAATTGGAGTTGAATGAATTTTTGAAGAATTAGTCTGTGGGAGGAGGGCAAATTATCAGCCTGCCTGAGACATCCACAAGTATCTATTTGACTCCTGTCTTTTTGACTTGTTGACACACCTTTGCTCTCAGGGCCCCGAGGGAAGACCTATGCCTTCAAGGGGGACTATGTGTGGACCATGACAGATTCAGGGCTGGGCCCCTTGTTCCGAGTGTCTGCCCTTTGGGAGGGGCTCCCAGGAAACCTGGATGCTGCTGTCTACTCTCCTCGAACACAATGGATTCATTTTTTTAAGGGTAAGGAGGCTAGTTACAGTGTCTTACCTAAGGAGGGTCTAGTCTTAAAGAAGCCATAAAAGGGAGGGAGAGACAAGAAGTTTCTGAAAGGGTGGAATGAAGGGACTACAAGCTATCACCTGAGGTGGAGGTGACTTGTTCTTTCCTCATACGCTCTCAGGAGACAAGGTGTGGCGCTACATTAATTTCAAGATGTCTCCTGGCTTCCCCAAGAAGCTGAATAGGGTAGAGCCCAACCTCGATGCAGCTCTCTATTGGCCTCTCAATCAAAAGGTGTTCCTCTTTAAGGTATAAAGTTCAAAGCAAGGGCAAATCCCTTCTTATGAGAGGCGGGTTACCTCATACTGAGAAGCAAAGAGTCGCTCTTGAGGGTAGATCTTCTGCAGCTGCAGTGGGCTGGGGGTAGATCTCTGGTTGTCCCTAAGCTCTCTCCTCACCCTCCCTTTCTCTCCAACCACCCCATACCTAGGGCTCTGGGTACTGGCAGTGGGACGAGCTGGCCCGAACTGACTTCAGTCGCTACCCCAAACCAATCAAGGGGTTGTTTACGGGAGTGCCAGACCAGCCCTCGGCTGCTATGAGTTGGCGGGATGACCATGTCTACTTCTTCAAGGGTAAAGAGTACTGGCGCCTCAACCAGCAGCTTCGAGTAGAGAAAGGCTATCCCAGAAATATTGCCCACAACTGGATGCACTGTCGTCCCGCAGCCCCAGATACTACCCCATCAGGTGGGAATACCATTCCTTCAGCTACAGGTACAACCTCAGATACCACAGATAAAGCTGGCCGCTCACCCAGACACAATCTTGGACATTACCCCTCAGCCACAGACACCACCACCCTTTCATTCCCTGTTAATGTCACCCTTCCAGAGGCCTAAAACCAGAATAAAATGTCTGCTTGCTAGAACTATGCAGGTGCTGCAGCAGGGGCATGAACCATAGACCTCGGGCTTCTAAAAGTTCCAGCTCTAGCCACAGCTCGCCTGTGCTGTTTCCCCCCTGGGAAGTGCCCCGCTAACTGATCTAGCCCCCACCTCCATCCATTTTCTCCCCATCCTAGATAGCACTTCCAACTGTGCCTTTGACTGTCTGGAGGACAATGGCGGAGGGAGGTGTCAATCAAGCGTTTAGCTGAGAGGAGGCAATACCTGGGGAAGTTGGATACCTGGTCCTGTTCTTCCTAGAAAAAGTGCAAGAAAACAGCATGGCCAGTAAAATGAGCAAGGGCTTTGGAATCCTGGAAAAATCACACTTACTTGCTTATGACTTTGGGCAAGCTAATTAACTTTGTCGAACCCTGAATTCCCTATTTGTAAAATAAGATTAACACCAATCCTGCAGGGTTGTTGCACTGAATGAAAACTATATGTGAAGTGTCTGGAACACCTGTTTAATAAAGGCTAACTCCATGTTCATAACAGCTCCTCCTCTGGCTATCTGACTATGTAACTCCTACAGAAGTCTATCTAATAAGGGTACCATATCAGACCTTTAGGGGACAAAGGATTTGTCAGTATGGCTAACTCTTTAATTTTGGGGTGCAGAGAAAGAAAAGAGCAACAACAGCAGAGGCCAGACTACCTGGTTCAGTATTCAATGCCATTTTATTCACGTGCTTCCACGTTCTTCCTCCCTCCCATCCTAGCTTTGCTGCCCAGGGGAGGGATATAACTTCCTTCATGCTGTCTGGGGAACCAAGGAATAGATCTTGGGCAGGAGAATCAGAGGGGAGAGAGTCAGAATGGTTAAGTGGCTGGAACAAAGTTCTGGTTAAGAAGGAAATTAGTATCACTCAGAATGGGAGGCAGAGAAGGCACTTGTCTTCCATGTAGCCCTGAAGACCAGGCTCCTTGGGGCAAAAGGGCAAGACTGTGGCATGTCAGCCAATGCTCTCTCCTTGGAGCAAGAAGTCAGCTTTTGGAGGAAGCAGGTGCTGAGGCAGGCACTGCCTTGTGGTCTCCCCCAGGTTAAGAAGGAGAGAAGGGGAAGCACCATGGAGGACAGTGCTCCCGACTGAGGTAGAAGGGGACTCAAGCCTATGGGGTCTGGGGGGAAAGGCCAACCAGAAACCCAACTATCCCCTAATGAGGCACCTGGGGATTGGGGGGATCCTGAACTTCCTCTGTACCCTTCTCCCCATCAAAAAGCTATCAAATGCCTTGGAGGCTCCCTGATTTTCTATAGGTCCTACAAAAACAACCCCCTTATTTTACCATTATGAGGCACATTCAGGTGGGTAAAAGGCTATTTGGGTAAGGGCCGTCCTTGGTTTGGAGGGAATTAGGAAGCCAGTTTCTCTGGTGACTAGGGCACATCTATTCTTGGACAGAGATAGGTACTCATAATTCCCTTCCTGCCCCTTCCCCACAAGATTCTCCTCTATCTGTCCCTGAAATATATCCCTATGGTTCTGGTCTGTGTTGGACCACAGATCCTATCCCCAAGTCCAAGAGGTGGGGAAATTTGTGTGTGGGTCCTGTGGGATCAGACCCTGCCCACCTAATGTTCCTAGGCCCTCACTAGGTAGGGACATCAGTGGAGGTTTAGGCTTAGGACTGGGTGGAACCAGAGGGTATGGTGAGGGGTACAGTGGAACCATAGTCAGAATCCAGGTCCAAGATGGTGTGGGGGGTTGTAGCCTGGGTGCCTGGTCCCAGTTGGTGCTCTCGAAGACTCTGGAGATAACTCTGGAGGGGCACAGGGCAGAGAGGGTGGAAGGAGGGGCCTGGGCCAGAACCCTCTTCCCACCCTGACCATCCCCATATGCCCTCTGCCCCATCCCCCCAGGTTGCTCCATCCCCCCCCTCCACTCACTGGAGCCAGACTGTCAGCAGGGCTCCGAGTGTTGGAGGGGGGCTGGCGTCGATAGCTGCCCTCACAAAGCCCCACCCCAGAGGGGGTCCGGTGCCACTTGGCCTCTTGCTGACGGATCCGAAGGAGGTGGAGATGCCTTTGCTGGTGACTCAAGACCACTGGTTGGGAGGGGGCAACACAGATTCAAGGAGGCCTCTTTAGACCCTGAATCCCACCCCTAAACACACTCACACTCTAGAGAAACCCATCTGACCTTCCTGTTAGATTCTCTCAAGCCTCATCTTTGCCCTGGTTATTCTAAAACAAACCCTTCTTTGGAATTCTCGTACTCTTTCCCGCGGACTTCCCTGAGATCCTCCCTTCTTTCCATTACAGTCCCCAATAACTCCTCCCTGCTTCCCCTGGCAATTTCTCTTCTCCTTCTTACCCAGACCTCCTTTGGTTCCTTTAAAGAGTTAAGTTCCTTTAAAGGAACTTTTTTTTTTTTTTAAAGGATGACCGGCAAGGGGATCTTAACCCTTGACTTGGTGTTGTCAGCACCATGCTCTCCCAGGTGAACTAACTGGCCATCCCTATATAGGGATCCGAACCCGTGGCCTTGGTGTTATCAGCACCACACTCTCCCAAGTGAGCCACGGTCCGGCCCTTAACTCTAACTTCTTTCCAATGCCCTATCCCACTCACTTTGAACATCCTCTCCCATCCTCCTCCCTCAAGTGTATTTCTCCCCTTCCCCTCCTCAAGTCTAGGAATTGGGGACAAATTGGCTGCATCTGTACCACAGTACTAACTCACCATTGGCGTGGCTTCCATGTTCCTCAGCCATGAGCTTCCATTGGGCCAGGGCCCCAAGGGCCCCCAAGGCAGGCCAGGTCCCCAGTAAGACCCAGCTATACCAGCAGAGAGGGGGCAAGACTGGAAGTGCCTGCAGGCGTTGGCCCAGCCGACTACCCAGTGCCAGCCTCTCCAGGAAGTAGTCAGCACAGGCCACCAGCACTGCAGCACCAAGTAGAGCTGTGCCTAGAACTGTGAATGGACGTGGCCACCGAAGCGTGAGCAGGGCTCCCAGCAGTGCCAGCCCCACCAGCCCCCCAGCTGGCACCCAGGCTGAAGGTGGTTGGTAGATGGGCTCGGTGCCCAGCAGGGCCCCGGCACCTAGGGTCAGGCCTAGCAGAAGACCAGTCAGGAAGAGCCCAACACTGCGAACCAGCATGGTGACCAGGCCGCAGAGGAGTCCGATGCCCAGCGCAATGCCTGCGCTCACCTCCAGGCTCAGCTGTGTCTCCAGCACCCGTTCCTTGTGGCACAGAAGGAAGATCACCAGAGCTCCTGACAGCAGGCCCGAGAGAAACATCACTGCCTTGAAGCAGCGGTAGCCTGAGAAGGGAGGTAAGAGCACTGAGAAGCAGAAAGGGGGTTCTACAGGGATGGCTCTGATTAACTGGGAAGGAGAGAAGTGGCTAACCAGAGGAGCAGAAGATAGGAGCAGCACACCAAGGGACCTCAAGGAAAGGAGCAGAAAGGGATAATCTCAAGGTGGAACTGTGAGGAAATGGGGAAAATCAGAAGCAAAGATGAATGCATTGAGGGCAGTAGGTACAGAAAGGAGGTCCAGCCTTCCAGGGATGGCAGATGGGAATAAATGAACACAGGCTGATCCAGGTTTTTGGGGAAGAGTGCAGAAGGTTTGAGCATGGAGGATAATTGGGGAATGGAGTTTTGAGGTAGGAGGCAAGAGGAGAGCAAATGATAGATGCCAGAGATCGGAGCTGAAGGGCATGGGTGTGTGCATGGGCAGGAAGCTGGCACAAGCAACATGGACCACACTGGAGGTACGCATCCCCTGGTAGAGGAGGCAAGGTGGCCCAGGAGCAAGGAAGAAGTTGGCATCAAACTTGAGGTTGACAATCTTGGGCAGCTGCCCCCCAGGACCTTTGCCCTGCCCTCACCAAAGCAGCAGTAGATGATTCCAAAGCAGCAGCAAAGGGCACACACCAGGGCGGGTGCCAGTTTAGGATTGTCTTGGGGTTCCAAAACACATCTTGCGTTTGGAGGCTCTGGGAGTTGTTGATTAAAGGGCCTGGGGTCAGATGTCAGGGGCAGCAAGGTTTCCTCCATGGTTGAAGAGAAGGTGGTCACAGAATGGGAGGTCAGTGTCAGCTCCCCTCATCCATCCATGAATGTCTTGAGGGAGTCGGGAAACCTGCAAGGGAGTAGGGAGCAGGAACTCAGGCGCCCATGAGTCTTGAAGACTCCGGGACTTCTCTTTCTTTTGAAGAATGGCAGATTTCAGGAGACAGCATGGTCCTATTGGGGTAACTGAAGAAATCTACAGGATTGGGTTGAGGGAGAAGGATGTTTCTTTACCATCCTCTGAGAAAAGGACGCTAGGTGAAACTTGAACTTAAAAATTTCATAAGGTAGGCCGGCCCCGTGGCGCACTCAGGAGAGTGCGGCGCTTGAGTGCGCAGGGGCGCTCCCGCCGCGGGTTCGGATCCTATATAGGGATGGCCGGTGCGCTCACTGGCTGAGCGCGGGGCAGGCGACACCAAGCCAAAGGGTTGCAATCCCCTTACCGGTCACAAGAAAAAGAAAAAAAAAATTATAAAAAAAAAAATTTCATAAGGTAATGAGCCTTTGTCTGCCCCCCAGATTTCCAGGGTGAGGGTGGGAGTAGTAAACCCTGGGTCTGTGGAGGGAGGGGCAAAGGGGCACTGATGGGACTGGGGGCTAAAGTCCCAGCGGCCTGTTTCTGAAAAGAAAGTTTGCCCCACCTGCAGCTGGGACTCAGGACTACCCCCATTGGATTGGGAAGGGTGGAGTTAATAGAGAGGGGAGAGGGAGGAGGAAGAGGAGAGAATGAGCTATGGTGGGGTCTCCCGACAGCTGCTCCAACCCTAGGGAAGAAAGGGGGGTGGGGAACAGACACCGAAAGAGTTTGGGACAAGGAATTAAGTAGAGACAGTCTCACCCACAGTTTGTCAGGGTTTTGAAGCCTCAGCTTCACGCTGAGACGGAGTTGTTGGGGAAAGGGGCGTCCAGCCACAGTCCAAATCCCTAGCCCCTCAAATCGCACATCCTGGTAGCCACTTGCTCCTCCCCTCAAGACACTGGTGAGACTTTTGCTACCCCTCCCTTTCCCCAGGGGTGTCAGGGCTGCCAATGGGATTTGAATTCAGATCCTTTTTTTTTTTTAAAAAGATGACCGGTAAGGGGATCTCAACCCTTGGCTTGGTGTTGTCAGCACCACGCTCAGCTAGTGAGCAAACCGGCCATCCCTATATAGGATCCGAACCCGTGGCCTTGGTGTTATGAGCACCGCACTCTACCGAGTGAGCCACCGGCCAGCCTTGAATTCAGATCCTGAAAGGAGAACACCAAGGACGGTCTGGCATTTGGGGCACCGTGGAAGTCGGGTGGCAGGCACTTTCCTCCAAATGCCTTTTGGACATCAAGGTTCTAACAGGCTGGAGGGGTTGGCTTGAGGAATTCCTGGGGTTCCTCTCCTCAATCCACTTGGAAGGCTGGGGACCCTAAAACAAGGAGAGGTTGGGGAGGGAGTGTTAACTACTCACCACCCTGCCAGGGCTGAGAGGAGGGAGTGGAAGTGCTTCCCTAGTCCCTCAGCTGCATCCCCGCCCGGAGGTCCTAGGCGCCGGGGTGGCCGTCGGGGGTGGGCACCCCCAGGGCCACTCTGTTCGTTGCCCCCTAAACTCTTCCAAGTCGTAGCCCAATCCCTGTGAGCTAAATGTAACTAGCTTGGGGGTGGAGGAAGAGTACAGGGGGTGTGTGTGCGCGCGCGCGCGGGTGTGTGTCTTGGGGGTGTGACATCACGGGGCGGGCCCCTTCAACCCTTTCCCCTTGTGTGTGGGAGGACCCAGGTTGCCTACTGCTCTAGTCCAGGACTAGAGACCCCCAACCACAGCAGGGAAGGGTCTTAGAGGGTACCACAAGAAATTTGAGGAAAGGTCTCTGAATATTTAGGAGATGACCCCCAAACTTGAAGCTCAAAACCCCCAACTGGAATCCAAGCGCCCCCTTAGCTCCGGCTTGGTTTCGTCCACTTCCCTGAGAATTGGAGTATTGTCTTCTTGTCTTCTGGAGAACCGGGTGGTCGGGATCGGGGACCCAGGGAAAGGGCTTTTACTGGCTTGGGAGCGCCGGCGGGGGGGTTCACCAGTGGAAAAACTTGCGGAGCAAGACGGGGCCTGGAAGGGGCACTGACAAGAGCGCTGTAAGGCTAGAAGCGTGTGCAGAGGAGGGGACCGACCGAGAGGGGGTCCTGCGTGGGGGCGGGGGCGCGTGTAAACCAAAGGCTCGGTATGCTAATGAGATGCAAAGCAGCATGTAGATGAGTGCAGTGTTCTTTGGCACTCCGCTACGGTTTTGAGCCCAGCAGAGCAATGCTCCCAGTACCCCGGCCCCACTTTATGACCTAGCCTGGGAGCTGCATCCAGAGGGGCGGATTCCGGGCCGTGGGAACTGCGGTTATAATGCGCAGCTCGCCAGCTGGGTCAGGCGCGGGAGAGGCCGAGCTTTGCTGGGGAAGGAGAGGCAGCGCTGCGGGGAGAGAGCGGGGGTTAGCCCGGGGCACCCTCTCCTCTGCTCCACCTCCGCAGGATACAAAGGAGCTTCTGTCTTCGCTGGAGGCCGCAGGGAAGAAATGAGGGCGGTGGCTCCTCTGAGCTCCCTGGTTTTGTCTGAAAAGGAAACAACTGTGTGTGGTTAGGCGGCTGTTCTCCATCTCCCATTCTCGGCATAACCCGGGAATATAGCCAGAGCAACGCTGAGTCAGCTCCCAGTCCGCAGGCATTGTTGCAGAGCCCACTTGCTTCGCTTCCAGCGGTGCAACCTGCGAGGATCCCAATCCAGCACGAGGAAGGCGGCAACAGAGGGCCCTTTAAGGGGCGGGGCCGGTGCTTCCCTAGGCCCACCTCCTCTGATTTGACTCAGCGCTTGCGGAACTGGCTCTTGGCTCCGCCAACCGCTTTTTCTTTTCCTTCCCGTCTCTTACCCAGTGACCCGGAAGCGGAAGTAGGTACGGGTCGGCGGCCGCGGCGGGGACGGAAGGCGGAAGCAGAGCGGGAGCGGGAGGCGGAGCCGGAGGAGCTGCTCTTGTGGCTCCGCCTGGCCCCAGGCCCAGCTGCTCGAGGGGGAGGAGTTACCGCCGCTCTTCGGTACATTACCTTCGCCCCTTCTATCCAGCCCGTGGGTTCCCTGGTTGTCTTTCTCAGGGGCAACTCTAAGCTCCGCCCCCAGGTTTTCCTTAAGGGCCGCAAGGTCTCCACCCTTTTCTGGCAGTCTGCGGTCCCCTTTTCCGGCAGTCTTTCCCTTTTTCCTAAGAGTGACTGTTGGACCACACCCTTTGCGGTACCTCCCTCTTTCCCTGATTATAGCTTTCTGGGGAAAGAAAAAAAACTAAGAAGATTTGGAGGAGGGGGGAGGGAGTAAGCATAGTGTGGTTAGTCTAGTTCTGGTTTATTGGGGGTAGCGGATGCCCCAAAAGAACCTGGGAAAAAAAGGGAAGTGGGTGCATTAAATATGTCCCCAATTTAAGATTATTTAACTCGTCTCTTGGTTCCATCCCTGACCATCCTCACCTTGATATCTTTGTTACAGGCATCAGAACATACCATGATGGCTGTGACCTAAAACCCTCAGGAAGCCCCTGGGTCATGGCCCAGAAGCACCCCGGAGAAAGAGGGTTGTGTGGAGCCCACCACAGGGGTGGTGCCTCCCTCAGGACTTCAGGACCTTCCGTGGACCCTGAAATACTTTCATTCTCAGGACTCAGGGACTCAGCAGGGACTGCTCCTAATGGTACCCGCTGCCTCACAGAGCACTCTGGTCCTAAGTACACACAGCCCCCAAACCCAGCCCACTGGTCGGATCCAAGCCATGGCCCCCCAAGGGGTCCAGGACCACCTAGGGATGGAGAGGAACCTGATCAGAGTGAGGCATCTTCAGAAGAAGAGTCAGGAGTGGACCATGAACTCTCAAGAGAGAATGAGGCTGGGTACCAGGAGGATGGGAATCCTTCTTTTCTTTCCATTCCATCTGTTTGCAACTGCCAGGGAGCCCTTGGAATCCCTGAAGGTCTTTACTCTGAGGGAGGAGATGGCTCTTCTAGCAACTTTTGCCACCACTATACCTCTCCAGCCTTGGGGGAAGATGAAGAGTTGGAAGAGGAATATGATGATGAAGAACCTCTTAAGTTCCCCCGTGACTTTTCACGTGTGTCCAGTGGAAAGAAACCCCCATCCCGGAAACAGCGACACCGCTTTCCAACCAAGGAGGATACTCGGGAGGGTGGACGTAGAGATCCCAGGTCCCCTGGTCGACATCGTCTGGGCCGGAAACGAAGTCAGGCAGATAAACGCAGAGGCCTGGGATTGTGGGGAGCAGAGGAACTATGTCAGCTTGGACAGGCAGGCTTCTGGTGGCTGATTGAACTGCTGGTATTGGTGGGAGAGTATGTGGAAACTTGTGGCCATCTAATCTATGCATGCAGGCAACTGAAAGGCAGTGATCTGGACCTTTTTCGAGTTTGGATGGGAGTGTGGGCAGGGTGGCTGGGGGGCTGGGCCCAGGTGATGTTCCAGTTTCTAAGCCAGGGGTTTTACTATGGGGCAGGGCTATTAACCCGTTTTCTTAGGCTAATAGGTGCTCTGTTACTCCTGGCTCTGGCCCTCTTTTTGGGCTGTCTACAGTTGGGCTGGAGGTTTCTGGTGGGGCTGGGTAACCGGTTAGGCTGGAGGGATAAGGCCACCTGGCTCTTCTCTTGGTTGGATTCTCTGGCCTTGCAGCGTTGTGTGACTCTACTGAGAGATAGCAGGCCATGGCAGCGGCTGGTAAGAATAGTTCAGTGGGGTTGGGTGGAGTTACCTTGGGTCAAGCAGAGGTATAATAGGCAGGGGACTGCACCTGTAGCTAGTGGGCGCTACTGCCAGCCTGAAGAGGAAGTGGCTAGACTCTTGACCATGGCTGGGGTTCCTGAGGATGAGCTAAACCCTTTCCACGTGCTGGGGGTTGAAGCCACAGCTTCAGATGTTGAACTGAAGAAGGCCTATAGGCAGCTGGCAGTGATGGTGAGTACTCTTCCCGTTTCCTGTCCCTTTTGCCCCCATATTTTATTTTCTATTCCAATTTTAGGGAGAGTGGAATAAAGAGAAGGCAGAGTGGAAAGTCAGCTTGAAGCTGAAGAGTAACATGTTCTTAGGAAAGTATCATAAAGCCTTTTTCCCCTCTGCTATGGGATCTGACCTTCCCTCCATTTTGTTTTTTGTCATAAGATTTTTTTGTTGTTGAGTCTGGTATATCAGGCAGTACTGAACTCACTCAGTCTGGAATATCTAGAAGTCCCTCTAAATAGGGTGGGGAAGAGTCCTCCTAGTCAGAGAGCATTTCAGTTGTTCTTCCCTGAACAAATGAGGGTTTTTTAAACATGGGGAAACCCAACTGTTCTCTCAGAGAGGCAAGTATGGACCTAGTGTGGGAGGGTTTAGGGAGTGCATGTGAGTGATTATTCCAGAACTAGGTAGAAGAAAACAGTCTATTTCAAGACCGGCAACCGAGAATAGGAAAGGGAAGGAAAATGGAACATAAATCATAGAGAAGTGTATGCATATGTATGTCATACATGAAAATGTGGTTGTTTTTATTGATAAGGGGCTGTGTAGGTGGGAGTTGTAATGAACCATATGCTTGAGGTAAATAGTTTAATACAAGCATGCAATCAAATTGCTATTAGGTTGCTATTATTAGATATATGATTGTTATTGCTATTTCTATATAAGTAAAACTATATTATGAATATTAGTAATGTGTGTAAATTGCATTAGAGGCCTATTTTTACTGAGTATATGGAGCTGGACTGGTAAAGTGTGCAAATTATCTCAATGGCTGCATGGCACCAAAAAGGGAAGGGCAACCAAGGTTTCCATTAATGATTAAAAGAACAGTAAACCACCAGGCCTGTAACTTACCAAAGGACTCAATTAATTTGGTGGGAAATGCATGCCCCTTAGTGGATAGCCTGGGATATTCTTAGAGTTTCAGCTGCTTACTCTCAAGTTATTACTAATAGTAGAGCTCTTTTCTCACTTTCATGTCTTTTAGCATACATCCTCTTGGGGATTATTATTCTTACAAAATTCTCATTTTTCAACTTCTCTTGGAGTACAGATGTAGTTAAGTTTTCCCATCTTCAACACACATACCTCTACCCCTACAGTTCTCTCTTGCCCTGGGCCAGAGTGTCTGTGGGTTTCTTTTATAGAACTCTTACTAGGCCCCAGTGTGAACATGACTAAAAGGCTGTTCTATTAGTTTGGAAATTCTGTTTATATGGCATTGTCAGGAGATTAATTTTATCTCTGTATTTTTGGAGAGTGGGGATGCGAACAATCAGAAGCAGATAGGAAGAGCAGATATTATTTGTCTTTGGAGAAAAGGCTGAAAAGTGTATGAAAAGTCCCGGAGATCATAATATTTTGTTTTATTTCTGGGAAAGAAGTTTTAGATATGAGAATTTTCTAGTTAGAAAAGAATGAGTTTGAGGATGTAACATCTTTGGGACTCTTACTTTATGACTGGTAAAATTAAAAGGGGCTTAGTATGTATGTCAGGTAGTATGACCAACCATCCCTATTTACCTGGGATTGAAGGGTTTCCTGAGACTTGGGACTTTTCAGTACTAAAAGTAGGACAGTCCCAGGAAAACTGGGATGGTGGATCATCCTTGTGCCAGATTCTGTGCGATATACTTCATATGTGTTCTTATTTAATTTTCCCAGCAATCCCTGATAGATAAAATATTCAAGGTCACATAGCTAATAAGTGACATAGCTGGGACTTGAACCCAGATCTGTCTGTAGAGCCAGAGCAATTAATCATTAAGTCATATTGACTCTCCAAAAGGATGATGAAAGAGAACCCTGTGATATGAGAATAGACCCAAGATGGGGAGAGGCTTGGAATGGATTTGTGATGAGATTTCTCTTTGTTTTGGTAGGTTCATCCTGACAAAAATCATCATCCTCGGGCTGAGGAGGCCTTCAAGGTTTTGAGGGCTGCTTGGGACATTGTCAGCAACCCTGAAAAGCGGAAGGAATATGAGATGTAAGTTGCAGATGGGAAATTATCAGGTGAAGGAAATGAAAAATCTTCAATAGGAGAGGCCCCTGGACTTGTGGGTGGAGGCCCTCTGAGGCAGAGAGAACTAAAGTTGTTTTTCTTTCTAGCTAGCCAGGGGTCTCAAGAGGCCATTAGATCTGTCTTCCCTTGTTCCTCTCTCAATATACTGACTTACAAAGCCTTTCTTCTCTTAGGAAACAAATGGCAGAGAATGAGCTGAGCCGGTCAGTGAATGAGTTTCTGTCCAAGCTGCAAGATGACCTCAAAGAGGCAATGAATACTATGATGTGTAGCCGATGCCAAGGAAAGCATAGGTATGAAATAGGAGGGAAGGGATGGGACAGCCACAGCTCAGGGATTGGGTAACCAAAGACCTTCCTTGTGAATATTATTGGTAATTGTGGGACACAAATGAATAAAAAGACCCTGAGGTTTCTACCTATCTTTGCCTTACTGTCAAGAGACTGAGGATTTGAATTAATAGTAAGAAAAAGAAATTGGCTTTAAAGATAGGTTGAGGGCAGGGTGTACATAGGCATATGAAACAACTAAATGGAGATAATTTTACATGTTTCAGCCATATTTGTGAGTAGTGAGACTACTAGCAGTGCCCTAGGTAGGCTTGACAAATTATGAAGGAACTACCCTTTTGTTGGGTTGCAGGAGGTTTGAAATGGACCGGGAACCTAAGAGTGCCAGATACTGTGCCGAGTGTAATAAACTGCATCCTGCTGAGGAAGGAGACTTTTGGGCAGAGTCAAGTATGTTGGGCCTCAAGATCACCTACTTTGCACTGATGGATGGAAAGGTGTATGACATTACAGGTACCCTTCTGTCCTCTACAAATATGGGCTTATTACTTCCTGATCTCATATGTGCTCTAAACTGTGGTGTTTTGGCTAATAATTTCTCATGTTTGCAGAATGGGCTGGGTGTCAGCGTGTGGGAATCTCCCCAGATACCCACAGAGTCCCCTATCACATCTCATTTGGTTCTCGGATCCCAGGCACCAGTGGGCGGCAGAGGTAGGTGGTATTTTTCTCAATAATCTATTTACTATTCCAGTTTTGAATATGGTTTCTGATGACCAGATGTTTAGGACACTAGGTGCCTCACTGTCTAGGCAGTTTGGGAACTGACTCAGTATTATCTTTAACTTTGGTAACCATATGCTTCTAACATTTCTTGCCTTATTATCTCTTCTGTTTTCTCTCAGAGCCACCCCAGATGCCCCTCCTGCTGACCTTCAGGATTTCTTGAACCGTATCTTTCAAGTACCCCCAGGCCAGATGTCCAATGGGAACTTCTTTGCAGCTCCTCAGCCTGGCCCTGGGGCCACGGCAGCCTCCAAGCCCAACAGTACAGTACCCAAGGGAGAAGCCAAACCGAAGCGACGAAAGAAAGTGAGGAGGCCCTTCCAACGTTGACACCCCTTTTCTTCTCTCCTTAAATCAATGTCAGGGAGTCAAAAGGGCTGTGTACAGCACAGGATGGAGTTTGATTTGTTTATTTTTAAACATTTTAAAAAGGGAAAATTTTAAGCTTAAATCGTTCACTCAGTACTTGTAAGAACCCTTCCCATCCCCTCCCCAGTACCCAGGAACTGAATCTTGTCTTCTGACAATACCAAAGAAATAGGGGGTGGCTACAGCAAAGAACCTAGGGCCTGGACCTGGGCTGGACAATATATCCCTTTGAGGTTTGGAATCAGTATTTCCTTGGGGTCTGTATGCCTTTGTCTTGTTTTTTGCTTTTAGAGCAGGTGATACTTTACCTTTCCCCCTCCTTTTATAAAAACGAGTCTATCTTATTTCTTGATCCATTTCAGGAGGGAGTCCCTTCCTTTACTGTGATATACAAGAGTTAGAAGAGAGAACAAGGATGCATGTAGCCCTAATTATAGGAGATGTGTAGAGTTCAGAGTGGAAACTCTGAATTTTTCCTTACTTTCACACTGTGGGTGAATCACCCAACTTCAAGCTTGTTGCTACAAGGAAGGCCAAAATTAGTAATTTTTTTTTTTAAAAGATGACCGGTAAGGGGATCTTAACCCTTGACTTGGTGTTGTCAGCACCACGCTCTCCCAAGTGAGCCACGGGCTGGCCTTTAAAATTAGTAATTTTTAAAACACAGACTTATGCCCTCTGCCCTTGAGTGAGGGGAAGTGATAAGAGGGTTCCTAGAAGCCCCCTTGTGATCAAAGGGTATGTATTTTTTTTAAGTTTGTTTATATTTGTATGTACATATGTATTTAAAGCCAGGGGATTATCTTTCTATAAATATATAACTGGCAACCTGTATCTTCCCTCTCTTTGCCCATATAGTGGGAGCCCTTTTTCTCATTTGAGAATTATTTCCCTAAGTGTTTGCTGAAAGTGAAGGGCACCTCCTACTGGACTAAAGGAGAGGGGATAAAAAATTGCTTAAAGTTTTGTACAGTAAGTCAGGATTCCATCTTTCTTCCCCAGCCTTATGAGGATATCTCCCTACCCTTCCTGCTGATCAAATTGCAGCCATAACTAAAAAAATGATCTTTATTATAAGGAAATACACAGCAAAACAGAGCTGGAAAGTGGTAGGTGTGGAAGATAAGGAAAAATGTAATCACCAAAGAAGCTGCTCAAGCGGCTTCCTGCTGTGGAGCAGAGTGATTTGGCCCTTACCTCCACCTGTCTTTCCAGAGTCGAAGAAATTTGCCCCTAGCAGAGCTGGGCCCAGGATCCCCATTGTCCAATCTCTTCTCTTCCTGGGAGTTTGGGAAAAGTTGTATAGTTCTCTGGCTTTCAAAATATAGAAGACAGTATGGAGAAGAAGGGAAGGATGTTATAGCCCTTTGTTCCAATGCCTTCCCCATTCCTGTGGAGCTGTCCTCAGCCTCATCCCTCAGTATTTGTTGATGCCAAAGAGACGAACTCCATGGAACTGGGGCAACTTAGGCAGTAGTACACTGAGCAAGGAGGCTGTGTTGATGAGGAAGTGAGCAGCATCATACTTGGTGTAGAAGCTGGCCAGGAGGTACCTGGAGAAAGAAAAAATTGGATGAGAATGGCTTTCCCTATTCTTATTCATGCATTTCCAATGACCTTCGCTTCTATTTTAAATGACCGGTTTTATTACATGTAGGATATCTGAAAATATTCCAGCTATGTCAACAGTATTTACTTTGGGGTTGACGAGATAATCAGATAGCACCTTTAACTGGAAATTATAAGTCAGTTTGTTTCTTAATTGTTAATGACGTGGGAAATGACAACTGAAGCTGTTTCAGACTGTATGACTGTTAGTCCCTTTTGCTTCCACTCCCCACAGTTTTTGAAGATTAACATCAGTTCTGCATTTATCTATTCACTTCTTTTGGAAGTGTAAAATAACTAGGTTTTACTTGGCATTTTATCTTTTCTCAGCCCCGTCACCATTTCCCTACTACCAAGGAGGCAGCAGGGAATGCTTTTGAATACTGTCTTCTACTTTTTACTGATCTCTGTAGTCTCAAATCTAGTATCCCATAACATCTTCAAAGGGTCTTAGATGGCTAGTCTGCTTTCTTAAAGCTTCCCCATGGGCCTTTCTACCTGGCTCTTGGAGCGCTTTCTAAGTCAACCTCTCCCCTTATCCCTTATAGACTCACAGTACAATAGGAGAGATGCTGAGGAACTTGCGGGATGAGGTAAACTGGAGCCCATAGTCCATTTGCTCCCAGTATGTCAATAGTCGAGCCTTTCCTTGGTCAGGGGTCTCAAAGGGTGTACCTTTTACCGTGTGTAGGAAGACATACATTGCCTGGGAAGACAGAAGTATGAGAGGCAGAAAGTAGTCCTTCACCCCAAGAATTATGCTAAGATCCCAAAAGGAAGACATAAACCCCTAAACAACTGGTGACTTTATTTTGTTTTTGGTTGGGAAAAACCTGGGGTGGGTACACGGTGTGATTTAGTGCTTACCAAGTTATGGATGACGTTGGTCAGGGTCCAGACAACAGGAATGCTGAAGAAGGGGATGCTGAGTAGAACCACATGCAGCAGTCCTACCAAGATGATGTAGGCCAGCCAGATGCCCCGGCTATTCATCACTCGAGTGTTGGGGTTTACTTCACTGTGTGCCACCCCCACATTCATCCTACCATAGTGGGGGATCAGGTAGGAGTCCAACTCAATTTCCTCTGAACCTCTCTTTGAGCTGTTCCCCCCAGTTGTCTCCTGAATAACCCAAATCTCCTGAATCTATTAGGAATGAAAGGACTTCCCCATCATGCAGAAGGGAAAAACTGAAGACTTGGAAAAACTTTGAAAGGCAAGGAGAGTTCTCCCTACATAAAAAAAAAAAAATATATGTGTGTGTGTGTGTGTGTGTGTGTGTGTGTGTGTGTACATACTATTTATTTTTATTGAGACATAATTGATTCTCCCTACATTTTAGAGAACATGGTAATTTTTACTTCAGCTGTAAGATGAAAGAGTAAGCCTAGGTTTGGGGCACCCACTTAAAGGAGCAAAGGAAACAGGGATATCTCACTTTACTTTCCTTAAGAAGTTAATAAGGAACCATTAAGAGGTTGCATACACCCAAAATTCCAGAAGGGAGTCATGGACTCAATCAAGGAACCACTAAGAAGAGATGAGAGTAAAGCTAACTCTAGTCCCCACCTTTTTCTTTGGGATTTGTCCGCCCTGACACCCTCTTGGCATGTAAGCAGCCAGCAGCCCCGTTCCTTCTCTCAAGCGTGGGACGCTGCAAGAACTTGCTCAGAGCTTCTGGACTGGGCTAGGAAGGTCCCTTCCTGAGCTCAACGCCTCGCGAGATGGACTCTAGCCCTGACTCCAGGGGCGGCTCTGATCGTCTAAACTAGGCTCTTTAAAATCTAGCTCGAAAGCTGATGATGCCTAGTTAGGAAGCAGCCCTTGCTCGCCCCTCTCTACCTAAAATTCCTTAGACTCTGGTCCTAAACACGTCCCATGCTCCTCCCAGCTTCCCTCTCTCGTTCGTCGGTTCCTTTAAGGGCTCTCTTCAGCGCTCCCCTCGCGGTGTTTTAACTCGCAGTCTTCCCACCGCCCCTTTCACCTCCCACCGTTTTCCCTCAGCAACCTTTTCCAGTCTCTGGGCAGCCCCTACCTGCCAGCTTCAGAAGCCCGTCCGGCTAGGGGCGCGGCGCTCGCTTCCACACCTGTGCTCTCCAGGAAGTAGTCGCCCCCATCTGCGCGCTCCTTCCAGGCGGAACAGAATCAGCGCTGCCGCCGCCCGTTGGTTAGCAGTCTGCAATAGGGACGCACAATTGGTTGCCATTTCTGTCGTTCTAACGATGCAAAACCCGCCCTTCTCCCTGTCCCACCTTTTGAGAGGTGAAGAAAGCTGCCGAGAGGATTGAGAGCGAAGCCAGCTACTGACCAATGGGAGGAGCTGTTGGTATAGGGTGGGAGTATGAGGGACTGCGATTGGCCGGCCCTGGTTCTCCTCGCCCAGGCGGGAGCCCCTGGAGGCGGAGGCAGCGGGCGGGAGCCCGGCGGGGTTGAGGGGCACCAAGATGGCGGCGGAGACAGTGGAGCTCCATAAGCTGAAGGTACCGTGAAGCGGGGAAAGGGCTGAGGTGGACTATTCTGGGAACTAAATTCTGCAGGGTGGCTTGCGCATTCTCGTAAGTGTTCTCCTTGAAGGCTTTCCCACTTCGTTTCCCGGCTCTCGCCGTAGTTCTTTTCCTTTGTGCCTCCCTACCCCACTACGCCTTTCCTAATTTCCCATTGCTCCTCACGGCTTTACTGCTATCTTTGTTATTTCGGCTCCCTTCTTCATCGTTGTGTTGTCCGTCACCCTTCCCAACCGGACTCTGTAAGTGCCTTCTACCAGTTATACTCTTCGTTTCTTCTCAGTGCTGCATTACGTCAGTGGTCCCTCCTCTTTGCCACAAGCCGCACCCAGGACCCCTTTTTCTTCCCTGGGTTGCTTTCCCGTCTGTTGTCCAAAGCTGAGAAGCGCCTGTTAACAGACGATGGCATTTTTGTGTATTTCTATCTGAATCGGTCCTAAACGTGACCAGAAAATGCTTCCGCTCCCTTTTTCTAGGTAGGGTTACGCCCCCGGGACGAGTTTTGAAACCTGGGAGAGGCTCCAGTAGATAGGCTTCCCCATAGAAGCCTGGGGTTGAGGAGGCCTTACGAATTAGTAAAATTCAGATACTTCAAATTTAAAAGTTTTTCGAATTCTCTCACGCGGTTCTCCGCCCGCCCGCTGACTTCCCCTAACGCCACTCCCTATCACCACCAGAGAGAGTACTTATAGCTGCAGTATTTTGGAAGAACGATTCCAAGGTTAGGGTTATCTCTGTCCCATTTTAGATCGTGGATGGACCCTGCATCTCTTGGTGTCACCACTGGGTGACACTACGAATCGTAGAAGCTATTTTAAGTTGTGTCTTATGGGAATCTTGGTTGCTTTCTCACAATTATTTTCGTGGAAGAAGACAGTAGTTTCTTTTAGGGTGAATTATTAGAATATGTTGATTAGTTGTCTATTTGTGGTTTCACAAGTAGTTTTCACATTAGATATTTTGGTCGCATCATCTTGGTAACCTCTGACAAACCAGGCTGATTTAGCTGAAACTGAAAACTGATCCTTCAAAGCTTGATGAGCTTTTTAAGTTAAGGAAAGTAAGGGTAGGGTCCTTTCTTTAGTCGCTTATTACTTGACACCAATTTATCTTTCTGTGAAAGCTGATATATTTCTTTCTCTTCGATTCTAAATTGTACTAGTGGATTTTTGTTTTTCTAGAGTTACTGTTAACGTGGTGGTACTGAAATGTGTACATTAGATCAGTGGTCTCCTAAAATTTATTGTGGTGAGTAAAAAAAAAAAAGAGCAAGCACCATCATTGTATATGTGCTTATCACTACAAATTATGTACTTTGGTACTGTTACGTATGTTATAAAGCATATGAGGATGGTTCAAAAAGTTCGTGGAAAAACGGAATTAAAAGATAATGTGAATCCTTCCGTGAACTTTTTGAAGACCCTCTCATACCCAAAAAAGGAATTTTTGAATGAATGAGGTAAGAGGAAATATGAATAGAAGATCGAATGTTTTCTTCCTATTTGTCCCATTTTGGGGATCCCTGGAATAAGTCATTAGCTGCTCTGTGACTTGCCTGTATGGATTTTGTGTTGGTTTATGGATTTCCTCTTTCCATCAAATCTGTATTTATTAGGTCTATATTAAATTTGCATATGCTTGGATAAGTCACTTTTACATAATGTCCTCTGACCAGGTATTACAGTCTAAGAGACGAGGTGCTCCTGACAGCCTAAAAAGGACTCACTCTTTAATCACATTTGCTTGTCTTTGCTTTTTCTCTAGAGTACTTCTTAACCTTTTGGAGGTCACAGATATCTTTGAAACTCTGATGAAAGGTATGGACCCTCTCCCCAGAAAAAGGCATGTACACATACTTTGCATGCGATTTGAGGGTCTTCATAAAACTATCTCGTAGCCCAGAGGAGTCCATGCCTTTAATTCTGACTTCTGAGACAGTTAATGTCGGTTTTACTTGTGATCTTTATGGAGTGCTCCTGACTTTTGGGTTGACTTAGGGTTTTAATGCCTTTAAAAAATAACTTTCCACTTTTTTTTTCTGGTGTTTGGTGAGCATGGGGGTCTGAACCCTTGACCTTGGTATTATCAGCTATTTCCATTTTATTTATAAAGATAATTTGAGGCTTTCGTGTGGGACCTCAGAGGAAAGGAATAAACTTTGAAGTAGGAAGGGAAAATATGTTATCTATCTGAATTGATATGTAAGTCCATATCAACTGCAAATTTATGAAGATTTTGTAGAAATGCAGTCATTCTAACACAGTTGGAAAGAAAGCTTGAACTGTGTATGAAAATAACTTGAACTGTAACAGTACCACATTTCCAATGAAACATGAGAAAAGGGTTTTTGCCAAGGAGAGAATGAGAAAGATGTTAGTTTTGAGAACAGTGAAACATTTGTATTATTGAAACAAAAAGTGCATATATGTTGGTAGTTTAAGATAGTTTGAAAGGAAAGTAGGTGAACCGTGACTATAAAGGTAAATTGGAGTGACATTTATTTATTTATTTATTTATTTTTACTGACCGGTAACGGGATCGCAACCCTCGGTGTCGCGCCCATACCGGGGACCGGCAACGGGATCGCAACCCTCGGTGTTGCGCCTGCACCACGCTCAGCCAGTGAGCGGGAACCGGTCTCCACATGGGATCTGAACCCTCGGCGGGAGCGCCGCAGTGCTCCTAAGCGGCGCACTCTCCAGTACGCCACCGGGCCGGCCCTTGGAGTGATATTTAAAAGGGCCTTTTAAATTGCGTAAGGAGTTCTGGCTCTTGTCATGTAGTCATAAGCAAGATTGGCAGCCTTTGGAAATTTGAAAGAAGGAGCCTGATGTGATCAGTTTGTGTTCTTTTGGCAGTATGGAGGATGGGATCTGGAGGGGAGGGATATCACCAGTTAGATGTTTATTATAGTAGTCTGATTATTATAGTAGTCATTCATCTGCGTAAACCCTTTTAATTATATCCCTGCCAATCTCTCAAGCTTAGTTTCTCACATTCCAGTTACAGTGGGCTTATTTTATTTCATTTCCTCAGAATGGCCATGTGCATTAATTGCTAACACTTACATGGCATTTACTATGTGGCAGGCACTGGTTGACGCTATTTACGTATATTAACTGATTTAATTCTCACAATAACCCTATAAGGTGAATACATCTACTATTCGCATTTCAAAATTAGAAAAACAGAAGTTCAGAGAGAATAGTAACTGATGGAGTAACTTGTCCTATGTCACACGGGTATCAAGTGGTGTATCAAATCCAGGCAGTCTGTCTCCAAAATTCATGTTCTTTTTTTTTTTTTTCCTTTTTGTCTTTTTTCGTGTCCGGCAACGGATCGCAACCCGGGGTGTGGCGCCCGCACCTCGCTCAGCCAGTGAGCGGGAACCGGTCTGTATGTGGGATCCGACCCCTCGGCGGGAGCACCACCGCACTCTCAAGCGGTGCACTGTAGCAGTGCGCCACCGGGCCGGCCCCCAAAATTCATGTTCTTTTTTTTTTTTTCCTTTTTGGCTTTTTTCGTGTCCGGCAACGGATCGCAACCCGGGGTGTGGCGCCCGCACCTCGCTCAGCCAGTGAGCGGGAACCGGTCTGTATGTGGGATCCGACCCCTCGGCGGGAGCACCACCGCACTCTCAAGCGGTGCACTGTAGCAGTGCGCCACCGGGCCGGCCCCCAAAATTCATGTTCTTAATCACTGTGTACCACCTCTCTCATCTCAGAATCCAGAACCTTCACAAATGCTGCACTTGAAGTTTTCTTCTGGCTGCAGTGCTCCTTGCCCTCCCCCCTTTTATCTAATTAACTTCTAGTCACTCTTCAGATAGTAGTCAAACACCGTTTACCCAAAGAAGCCTTCCCTGTTCTCCCTATCCACATATGGTCAGGCCACTTTTGTATGCTTTCATAGGATTGTGTACTTTTTTTTTTTTTTGTCCTTTTTGAGACCGGCGGTACCGCGCTCAGCCAGTGAGCGCACCGGCCATCCCTATATAGGATCCGAACCCGCTGTGGGAGCGCTGTACTCTCCCAAGTGCGCCACGGGCTCGGACCAACTTTTTTTTTTTTTAATCAGTTAAACATGTGATCATTGATTGCCTGTTCTCCTACTAGATTATAAGCTCTGTGTGGGCAAGGACTCTCTGTTTTGCTCATGTTTATTTCCTTGTACCTAAGATAATGCTTGACACACAGTAGGTACTCAATAATATTTGTCAAGTGAATAACCATATTAAGTAAGTAGTGGCATTAGAATAAACATATGAAGTAAGTAGTGGCATTAGAATGGGAATGAATTTGAAAGAAATTTTGGATGTAGAATTTTAAGTATTTATAGATCAGTTAGATGTGGGAGGAATGAAAGGTGACTTCAAGGTTTGGGTAGGTTTGGAGGAGGAGGAAGAGAAGCCAGTTTGTGCAGGAGAGATGACAAGTTCAGTTTTGGGCTTAGGTGTCTTTGGGACATCCACTTGGAGATGTCTGATAGTCAGTTGGAAATGTGAGTTTTTCATTCAGGAGCTGAGAGCGGAAGAGAGGAGTTGGGATTTATCTAAAAAATAGTTATGGAGTGCCTGCCGTGTGCCAGTTACCATAGGTGCTAAGGATACAGCAATGAACAAAACAGACTTATAGTTCTCTCACAGACTTATAGTTTACTGGGGGGAAGGCACAGTAAATAAAATGTATAGTATGTCAAATGGTGGTAATGTCTATAGAGAAAAATAGCAAAGGGGTTAGGGAATACAGTGGGAAAAGTATTGTAATTTTATTTTTATTTATTTATTTTTTTGTT